CGGATGCATGAGACGAACATGTATGCAAATGAAATGCACATGATGACATGATATGCAATGCAAGACACGCAAGCAATGACAAGGCAACAACAGCGAATAACTGGACGACACCTGGCACATCATTCTTGGGGCATTACAACACTCCACCACTACGAGAGGATCTCGTCCCGAGATCTAGAATGGCATCGGAGGGACAAACGGAAGAGAAAGAGAAGAGGTAAAACTAAATTGCTTCTTTGGCAAACGAGTGAAACCAAGGAACCTTGAAGAGGTTAATCCATATCGAGAAAAGAATACAACGGAGATGAATGAAGTTGAAAGCACTCCGGTAGGGAAGAGGAAAACAAGGAAGAGCAAATTTGGACAACACTCCGGTTGAAAAGAGATGAAAGACTTGATAAAATGAAAGAGCATGAGCAAAGGGGCACAACACTCCAGTTAAAAGGATAAGCATGACAAGGACAAGAAGAAGGTTCGAAGAGAGCAGCAACACAATGCCTCCGGGAGAAAGAAATAGAAGATAGATGATTAAAATAAAAGAATGGAGAAGAAAATGCCAACTTCTGCCACAAAAGAGTTTGAGAAGGCATCCTTAGGAGAAGGGTCAAATGGAGTTGTTGGAACACCAGCAACGATAAAGGATAAATTTGCTATGGTCTTATGGAATACATCTCAAATTATGAGGTGACAACCTGCCACTAACAAAATCAAAGATTGGGTTGATATCAACAAGGAGACGAGAAACCTATTCATCGGCGCCAGCGAGGTGGTCCGGGGCGACCCGCCCCTGTAGCGACCCGGTTGCGTGAACAGGGGAGAGGGGAGGTACCGGGGATGTTGGGCTGACCATTGGTTCAGCTGGGCCGAGGCCCAGTGAGGGGGAAAGTCCTGTTGTTTTCTCCCTTTCTTTTATTCCACCACTGTTTCCTATTTAAAAGAGCTACTGAAATAATTTTGTTAAATGTGGCACTTTGCACAAAAAATAGATAGGAAGAAAGTGAAGCTGCATAAAAAGTTTGGGGTCAGAAGGAGTTGGCTAACCATTTTTAGAAATTGGAAAGGCCAATGTAATTATTGTTGGACCACAAAATAAAATCTCAGGGGCATTTTGGGAACTCAAATGAGGTTGGTTTCAACATGACAAATAACCAGAGATTATTTTCCACACTTTGAACATTTTAGCTTTCATGTCTGACAAATATGAATTGACTTTAGATTGGATTTAAATTTGAACTGTGATTTGGATCAAGTGAAGATTAACAACAGTAACATGATGACATGGCACCATTAACAGGGGATTACTGTAGCATGACACTGGGGGTGTTACAGCGCCCTTGCCCCGTCCCCGACTGCCTCGCCCTTGCTCCTCCACGCGCCGACGACCAGCGACCAAGACGAACAGGAACCACGCTGCGCCGCTCCGGCAATCCAGCCCGCCGGCAACCTCGACCGCCTAGGGCCTTCCTGGCCTCCCGTTCCACCACTGCGTGGTCCGGCGCCTTCTCCCTCCGTTCGGCCTCAACCACCGAAGCCATGCCGCCTCCGCGCCCCCAAGCACCTCACCCCCTGCCACCGTGTCTGGTTGCCACCGGTGCACACGACCAACGTTGTGCCTCTGCTCGCGGATGCCGCTGCCAGTGCCCGAACGTTGCTGCTGCTTTGCCGCCCATCTCCTGTCGTTGACCGCCAAGACCGTCTTGTGCTGCCACGTTTTGGTTTCACCAAGTTCCATCAAGCCGGCTGTGTACGTCTACCGTCGCCGTGGGTTTTTCATCAAGTTCGACTACAACATGAAGATATGTACAACTACGCGGGTTCGCCGAGTACGACTACTCATGGGATCCGTCAAGTTCATCTACGTGCGTGTACGACTACTCATCCGGGATGCGTCGCGTACCTCTATGGAAGACCCGAACATCTACGAACCGTGTACGATGACCGCCGCCGAAGGCCATTGAGTGAATAACTACCGTCGCCGTGGATTCGACAAGACAATGTGTACAACTACTTCCATGACGACCATGTACCACTACCGTCACGAGAACGACTACTTCCTACGACCGTCCTGAGAACACCTACTTCCTTTACCGAAATCGAATCGCTCCGTAAACGCACCTTTGTAAGGTATAACCGTCGAGACGATGACCCATGGACGAATGCATGTGTGTTGTATGAGATGCCCGTGTTTGCACCATGCCCGTTTGTTTCATGCACGTCCCCGTTAGCCTTGCCGCAAACCCGTGGGACACCCGGAATCCGGGATCACCCCACCATCCTTGCGTGACTCGCTCCACACACTTGCTCTTTGCACCGGTACTCCAACGAGTTACTGGGACCCGGAATGTTGCCTTGGCATCATTTTCGTTATCGTCGCCATGGCACCCCTTTCATTCCGTCATGGCGACCAAATGCTTCATATCATGCTCATGTCAACTTTTAATAAAAATTGCATAAAACTTGCACATGTCATCCGCATCATGCTAACAACATCAAGAATGTTTAAAATTGTTGTTTGCATTAAATTGCTAAATGCATATGGGGATTTATCGGAATTGTTGTTTGATGTTTCCGGTCCCATTTAAATTGCTTAGATAGGTAGTTTTCATATGTTTCACCCCTTGTCATGTTTTATAACATTTAATATTGTTGGGTACATAATCGAGAGAGAACTAAATAAGTCATGTGGTGTTCCGTCAATATGCAACGGAGTTGCATATTGAGCTCCACTTAATTTGTAGCATTGTTTGTTGCACTTTGCCCTGCCATGCCTCTTTAAACCGGGCATGCATCATATTTGATTGTGCATCATGCCATGTTTATGTGATGGTTATTTACTATGTTGCTTGCTTCTTTCCGAGTTGCTTCTCTCGTTAGTTTCGGTTTCGTTTCGGAGTTGTGAGGATCCGTTCGACTACGTCCGTTTGTCTTCTTCATGGACTCGTTCTTCTTCCTTGCGGGATCACAGGCAAGATGACCATACCCTCGAAATCATTTCTATCTTTGTTTGCTAGTTGTTCGCTCTATCGCTATGTCGCGCTACCTACCACTTGTTTATCAAGCCTCCCAAATTGCCATGATAGCCTCTAACCTTTTCAACCATTGTAGCAAACCGTTGTTTAGCTATGTTACCGCTTTTGCTCAGCCCCTCTTATAGCGTTGTTAGTTGCAGGTGAAGTTGAAGATTGCTCCATATTGGAACATGTTTATGTGGGGATATCATAATATCTCTTATTTAATTAATGCATCTATATACTTGATAAAGGGTGGAAGGCTCAGCCTTATGCCTGGTGTTTTGTTTCATTCTTGCCGCCTTAGTTTCCGTCATACCGGTGTTATGTTCCTTGATTTTGTATTCCTTACGCAGTTGAGTGTTATGGGAACCCCTTGACAGTTTGCTTTGGATAAAACTCCTCCGGCAAGGCCCAACCTTAGTTTTAACATTTGCCACCTAAGCCTTTTTCCCTTGAGTTCTGCAGACTCAAGGGTCATCTTTATTTTAAAACCCCCAGGCCAGTGTTCCTCTGAGTGTTGGTCCAAACTGGGCGATGTTCGGCGCCCCTGGGCAACCAGGGTCTATGCCAACCCGACGTCTTGCCCATCTGGTGTGCCCTGAGAACGAGATACGTGCGACTCCTATCGGGATTTATCGGCACATCGGATGGCTTTGCTGGTCTTGTTTTACCATTGTCGAAATGTCTTATAACCGGGATTCCGAGACTGGCCGGGTCTTCTCGGGAGAAGGAATATCCTTCGTTGACCGTAAGAGCTTGTGATGGGCTAAGCTGGGACACCCCTGCAGGGTTAAAACTTTCGAAAGTCGTGCCCGCGGTTATGTGGCAGATGAGAATTTATTAATGTCCGTTGTAGAGAACTTGACACTTAACTTAATTAAAATGCATCAACCGCGTGTGTAACCGTGATGGTCTCTTCTAGGCGGAGTCCGGGAAGTGAACACGGTCTTGTGTTATGCTTGAACGTAAGTAGTTTCAGGATCACTTTTTGATCACTTCTAGCTTCTCGACCGTTGCGTTGCTTCTTTTATCGCTCTTATTTGTGTATGTTAGCCACCATATATGCTTAGTGCTTACTGCAGCTCCACCCCACTACCTTCTCCTATACATAAGCTTAAATAGTCTTGATCTCGCGGGTGTGAGATTGCTGAGTCCTCGTAACTCACGGATACCTCCAAACAGTTTGTAGGTGCCGATGATACCAGTGCAGGTGTTGCTACCAAGCTCAAGTGGGAGCTCGATGAAGATTTTGGTCGTTATTCCGTGTCTTTTCCGGTTGATCAGTAGTGGACCCCAGTTGGGACGATCGAGAATCTAGCATTTGAGGTTGTCTTCTTTTATTTTGGTTCCGTAATCGGACCTTAATTGTATTCTCGATGATGTATGTTTAACTTGTTATTTGTGTGAAATGGTGATTGTAAGCCAACTCTTTATCCCATTCTTATTCAATACATGGAATTGTGTGAAGATTACCCCACTTGCGACTAAATCATCATGCGGTTATGTCTATAAGTCATGCCTCGACACGTGAGAGATATAACCACATCATGGATGTTACACCCATCTTCAACTTTCAAAAAGAAAAATAACCCACCTTCAAAAAGTGTTGCATCACACAGACTTGATTGGGCTCGATGCAGGCAACCAAACTCGCCCCTATGCGTGAGCCAGTCCGACGGTTTCCGAGGGCACCGTTGTGCATCTGGCGCGGTGGCGCCGGTCATTGCCCTTTTATTCACCACTCTCTTCTGGCCCCGGGGGGCCCCACACGTCAGCACCGTGGCGCGGCTGAGACTCCCATCTCCGTTCCAGGACAACACTTTCCTTCCCACAATCCCACTTCGCCACCAACGGCGAACCCGCCAATCTCCCCTGCCTCAACCGGGCCATTGGAGACCGGGGTTTCGCTTCGCTCGTAAACCCTAATCTAGTCCACCTTTCGCCAATCCAGTCCAGTACCTCGACGGTCAGCCTCTCCGATCCCACCCGATGCCCCGACCTCGACCCCGCGGGCGGGGCAAAACCAGATCCGGCTCGCAAAGGATGGATCCCGAAGAGGGCACCACACCACCGGCTCCGGAACAGGTGGCGTGTGATCCGTCGCAAGAAGAGAGTGCGGCGCCGGTGGTCGAAGAGAGGGCAGACACTGACGCGGTAGCGGGAGAAGACCAAGGGGCGAGTGAGAACGAGGCGGAACGGACACGCGAAGAGCTCGAGCGGACGGTCACGGAGCTCAGCATCCAGAACGAGTACCTCAAGTCCCAGATCGCCGGTGCTCAGCAGCTGGCGAATAGCGCCGAGGTGGGAATAGGCAGTGGGAGGGAAGACGAGGATGACTCCGAGCTCGTTAGGAGCTTGAAGGAGCAGGTCGAAAGGCTTAGCAAGGAGGTTCAAGAGCAAAAACAGACGCAGAAGGTTGCGGAGGCGGCCCTCGAGCACGTCAATATGTCCTACGCCGAGGCGGACGACAAGGTTCAGGAGCTCACGGCGAAGCTCAACCAAGGTTAGTTGCTACCCTCCCCGACGCTTTGATATTGGTCTGGTTGCGGAACTTGGAATGCCGTGGTTGATCGGCCCGATTCTTCTAGTTCTGTGGGCGAGCATTAAAACTGCCCACACATTCGGGCGCAGCTATGGCGGCCCACACGACCTTGTGGCAACTGCTCACCCTTTAGTTGCCATGTGTAATTAACTATAGTTGCCATGTCTGCCATGTATCATTAAATATAGTTGTCATGTGTAACTAATTGGAGTTGCCACGTGTGGTCAAACCATAGTTGCCATGTATGGTCAACTATAGTTGTCGTGTTTGATTAACTAGTTGCCACGTATGCATATTGTGTAACTAATTGGAGTTGCCACGTGTGGTTAAACCATAGTTTTCATGTATGGTCAACCATAGTTGCCGTGTGTGATTAACTACTTGCCAAATGTGCACAACTGTAGTTGCCATCTATCATGCGAGTGTCATGTGGGCGAAGAGCAGTTTCACCTACACGTTCGGGCGAGGAGCGCCCACACGTGGCACTAAATGATAACGCCCACATGACGCTGGGTGCTTACGTGGCTCTCGACCCAGATGGCAACTGCTTCAATATTCGTGCAAATGGATCGAACGGCATCGACTGCGTTTGGGCCATGTTGATAAGTGCCACACGTGTGGGCGTTATCATTTAGGCTAGTTTTTCCTGCTCCAGTTTTCCAAACTTGTTTAAACCATTTAGCTTGAGATTATTATGCTTCTCTGAATAATGGCAATATCGACTTCTGGACCTTTTTTGCTTGATCAGAATGCACCTTTTTATGTGTAATGTGGCCAGCGCTTTTTTGCTTCCTGTCGTTGCACATTTCCCTTTTTTATAGAATCCAAATCATCATTCATTCCCATGTATGTAGCTCAACTGAAGATTGAAAAAGAACTAAAGGAACGAGATGACAAATATGTTGAGTTGGATACTAAGTTCCAGAGGCTTCACAAGCGTGCGAAAAACCGTATACAAGATATACAGAAGGTAACCACTTCAAGCTTTCTGTACATTAACTTGAGAATAGTGGTTGCATCACTTTCTAAAATTTATGCATTCAGTTTGGAAATCACTCGATGTCTGCTCAAGAATTTGCGCGAGTTATAATTTTTGATTTTTTTAATGACGCCCCTGAAGAGATATATGGACTGGAATATCACCAAAGAACTCGCCATGGACAGGGGCATGGAAGTTAGCTATCCACGTGCTAGAACTATGAGTTGGTTTCGAGATAATATAACCATGAGTTGTTGTTTCTTGTTCATTCGTGACACGGTTTTCTTTCTTAACAGGAAAAAGATGATCTGGAAGCTCGGTTTAATGAGATTAATCAGAAGGCTATGGAAACTGCTTCTCTACAGCTAGCGGCACAACAGGAACTGGAACGTGCTCGTCACCAGGCTAGTGATGCTTTACGGGCAATGGATGCTGAAAGACAGCAACTGCGGACTGTGAACAACAAGTGAGTAATGTACTGGTCTCACTGTACAATGTTGTCGTGTACATGACTTAAGGTACAACGGTGCTAGCCGCCAGATGGAGAGGGGGCCATCTATTTAATGATGTACAATTTAGAATATATAGCTAGCTAAAGGGCAGAGATGTAGCAGGGATTTGAGGGACTTGGGTAATGTACTTGATCTATCTTTTGCTTAATCTCAGTCACAATATGGCAACCTCTTATACAGAGCCCCACTGCCTTAGAACCTCCTAACTACTGTAAATGCCTTTTCAACTTCTAGATATGAGGTTAGGAATGAGACCGAGTTGACCTACTGGCCCAGTTCACTCAACTGGGGGATCAGTTCCCACTCAATTTTTACTTCACTTTGTGCACAAAACTCTTAAATTAGTGAAGCAACTAATATGGGTGGATCAGCCCAACACGCCCAGCTTGCATCCGTAAACAAGACTAATAATGTTGCAACCTTTCTTATATAGAGCCGCCCCACCATAAACCAAGTAAAACCTCCCAACTACTAGAGATGCCATTCAACTGCTAGTTATAGGCACGACGAAACTTTGTTGACCTACTGGCCCAGCCACCACACTGGTGGATCAGTCGCCACCAATTTTTACTTTACTTTGTGAACAAACTCAGTGAAGAAATAATTAGCGCCCAACCCGCCCAGCTTGCGTAGTTAGATAAGATTCTATCTTTTAAAGAGTAAAATGCACTTGAGGTCGATAAGCTCACCTTCCAAATCTGCTGCTCTCCGCACCGCCACGATGTCAGGCACCAAGCAAGCCTGCACACGAGGTGATCCAGGGAAAGAGAAGCCACTGGTGAGAGTCCATTAATCTGTGGAGGTGGCGTGGCGATGTTTTCTGGCAGGCTGGATTTGGAGAAGAATTGGTCATTGGCGATGAGCGGGGCTACTCCCCTCTGTTGATGACAGTCTTGGATCCTTTGGTGCTTCCAAATTTGGTTGCTGCAGTCAATATCCTCTCCTACCCTGGATTTGGGAGGTTGGGTTGTCACCTACATCACGCAGCAAAACAAGAAAGGAACACGCTAGACTGATGGAGCAAGCAGCCTAGCTTACAGTTACTCCTTCCGTCCGACAATATAAGATTGTTTTGCAAACTATGTTAGCTTGCAAAATGATCTTATATTATGGGACGGAGGGAGTAGTGTTTAGTGGTGGTAATTGACATGATGGTAAACTGAGTCAATCTGGATTCAGATAAACGGTGTTAGGGAAGTAGCAACTTGTATTTCGGGGTGGCCCTAGGCCAGTATATATACACGTACAAGTGTGGTACAATATGCAGAAAACCCCTTACAAAAAAGGGCAACCCGGCGCACTTAACCCTGCTTGCGCAGGGTCTGGGGAAGAGTCTGACCACTTGGGGTCTTTAGCATGCAACTTTTCCCTACATTTCTGTAAGAGGCTGTTTCCAGGACTCGAACCTGTGACCTCATGGTCACAAGGCAACAGCTTCACAGGCGCCAAGGCCCCCCTTCAAAAAACCCTTTATAGAACGGGGAAAATACAAAAGGGTACACGACTAAATATATATAACTCTAACCCCCCTTGGAATTCATAGCGGAACAGGTTAAGGGGGTGATTGTTAGAGTTAACCTTGTTATTTAGTTTTCATCATATTTTGTTTCATGCATATAGTTGAGTCATGCCGCTAGGAGCTGTGGCTGTGTACGACGTCTGAGATGTGATTCACGCTACACATGCAAAGCTACTACTATTAGTTAGTTGCATGCATAGATTAGTTAGTGGCTTAGTGCATGCATGAGCTGTTTGTTGGGCAGCTGGGTCATACTAGATAAAGGAGAGAATCCAGGGATTAGTTAGCTGGACATGCTCGTACGTGGTATGGTGGCCGAGTGTGGCGGTTGGGATAGGCGTGCGTGTGGCCATCTCCTGTGTATATATGTTGCATTGAGTAAATGAAAGAGAGACCGAGTGGGCTGAGGGAAAAGATGTAGCGCCTATGCTCTCATCGGGAGATATAAGCAAAGCTAGCAGTCTCCAAGTGAGGTGTGTGCGTGTGTTCCCTGGTCACATGTGTTCTTGTGACAAACCATAGAAGAGAGAGCTTGAGGTAGAAGAAGAAGCGGCGCTGCGAGGAGAGGCGACGCCAACAAGAAAGACATTCTTAACATCAAGCTGAGTCACAGACCCATGGCGAATAGAGGCCACAACAAGAAGTGTGCGAACAGTGGTCATATGGGCCACATGAGAAGTCTCGTGCAATCACGACCATGCTCGCGCTGAAAGAACATGTAATGAACACTTAAGAGAATCATTAGAGCGAGTCTTAACCTTGTAGGCCCACTTACAAGTGATGGAATGAACATGTGAAAGAAGAGAAACAAAATCCCATGTAATGGTGCGCTCAATAGCATCAATCTCCTTGGTCATCGCAAACTGCCATTCGGGATGAACAACATCATGATAAGAAGTCTGCTCAAGAACAACAACGTTAGCGCTTGGAAAACTAAGGCGGTCTACATGCGGAAGCGGATGAGCACACAAGCGATAAGTTGGCTGAGACGAGGAAGAACAACATCACGATAAGAAGTCGGCTCAAGAACAGCAACGTTAGCGCTTCGAGGAAGATGGCACATTAGAAGTAGATGGCGCATAGACCTTGTCAGCTTCGGCCGTGCGCTGTCCACGGAAAAACCGCTCACACATATAGATCCAACCAAGAGGATCGACCGAACCATCATACATAGGGAAGTTGAGCTTGTGGAAGCGAACGCCAGAACCGGAACCTGAGCCGAGGTGATTGTTAGGTAGAGGCGGAAGGGAGGTGATGGGCGGGGTGGATCCATAGATGGGTTGTGTAGGGGGGTGCGGCCATAGCGGCATATGAAATCGGTTCACGGGTGGAGACATGAAGGCGGTAGAGGTGGCGGTGAAAATCTGCTGCCGCTGGTGATGGTAGGGCGGCTGCAGGTAGGTGGGTGGCAACATTGGGGGTGGGATTTGGGCTGTAGGGTGAGGGTGCCAGGTGGCCCAGATTGATATTAGGGGTGGCTGTGGCGAGTAAGGAGATTGCTGTTGGTGGGAAAAGGGTGCTGGCGGCTGATGTTGGTTGGCAACAAAAGTGAGGGGGTGGTGGGGGTGGACAATCTGCCCGGCTGGTGGAAGTCCGATGGCGGCGATTTCTCCCGCTGGAGAAGGAGACACCAGAGGTGTTGGTGAGGGGGAGCACCAGAGTCGAGTCATCATTGGGGAGGAGGGCCGGGCTTGCGGAGGTGGCGTCATGGGCGGCTGCTGCAGTCGTGGAATCTGGAGATGGGGGCACGACAGACAGCCGTTGCTTGAGTCCCGTCAAGAGCTGCACCATGTCGGCAAGGAGCGCCTGATCCTCCGCTCGTTGGAGTGCTAAGGCCTCCAATTGCTTTGTGATGATGTTCATCAGCTCCACAACCTCGATCTCAATTTCATTGTCCGCCATCATAGATGGATCTGATACCAAATTGGAAGAACTAATACTGACCTAACCCTAATTACTGAAAAGTAGATAAAAGTAAACAACAAAGGGTCGACTCCTTAATATAATAGACAAGACTCTGGCCAACAAGCCGGAAATCTATTCAAACTCTAATAGAATCTCTAAACTGACAAGACTCTTTCCTAACATGGGCTGGTCCACATAACAATCTTGAGTCATATGGAAAGATGCTCTAATATCAAGAATCCACACATATGTACCTGCCTGTGTACAAGGTGGTCTCATAATGCCAGAAGAGTCGCTAGAAGAACGAGCAGAACTTGTCAATGGAGAATCGGAAGATGCAACTAGCATGCATCAAAGTCGCGCAACCTCCTGCTCAGTCAGGGGCTCATATGAGGATGTTGACGTAGAGGCACTTGATAATGGAGAGCCGGAGGCAGTCAGCTGGCCGCGAAGTCGCACAATCTTCTGCTCACTGAAGGACAGAACCGGCGTAGTCAACGTAGCAACATCAACAAAGGAGTGGCCACCGCCTCCTGTGGAGGCCGCTGGAGGAGGCGGTTTAGCATGACCAGTATCTTATGCAGAAGCCGGTGCATGAGACGAGGTCGCATGTAGACAAGCACCAAGGGCCAAGGGAAGGCGCGTGTGTGAGGCGTAGTCGATGGAGCGAGATGCACCAAAAATGCCGTTGAAGTCGCGAGAGGAGTCGAGGTAGAGCGACAATCACCATGTGTGGAGGTCGCAAAGAGCGACCACCATGACCTTATGTAGAAGTCGCTGTAGAGCGACTAGCACAACCTACGAAAGACGCCAAAGGGGACGACGTCACAGGCGGACAAGCACCAAGCATTGAGAGGCGGCGCATGTGCGAGACATGATTAGTGTAGGGAACACCGTCAAAAATCAGCGGGCAACAAGGAGGGAAACCGTGCCCAATGAAGACATTGCACCTTTTCTCTCTTCTCTCTTTTTACTTACTTTTATTTGTAATCAGTCGATCCAACCGAACAGAACACAATAGCCTGGGCAGACTGCTCGATGGAGGAGGACAGGCGGCGGCTGGCTGAACCGAAATAGGAAACAATCCGTGCACTTCGAATCAGACACTATACCATGAACAACAGTTAGTAGCAGCAGGTATTGGCTTGTAGCAACCAGTAGCATGGCCAGCAAGCCACAATAGAGCAGTAGCAGCCTGCGCCGTCGTACACGGGGCAGTAGCATGCATGCGGAAGCCGGCGGACGAGGCGAATGCACGGAACAACAGCCTCACACACGAGAAGCCGACGATGGACGACAGGATGCTGGCGTACCAGGCGAAGGCGACGGCAGATAGGCGAAGGGCGGGACGGCGGACGAGGTTGAGATCGGCGCATCGGCGGAGGACTATGCGGAGGCTGCAAACGTATGCGGAGAGAAGTGGTCAATCTAGCTGATTTAGGACAGTACGACGGTTGTGTCTTGGAGAAGGAAACGGGAAGGCATGGGCAAGAAGGCGGTGGCGTGAGAATTTGGATCGAGGGTAAGCAGTACAAGATCGACCAGAGACACGAGTTGTGACCTGGAAGGGAAAAAAACTAGGCTCTAATACCATGTTAGGGAAATAGCAACTTGTATTTCCAGGTGGCCATAGGCCAGTATATATAGAACGGGGAAAATACAAAGGGGTACACTGGTAAATATATATAACTCTTAACAAACAGAAACCACAGCTAGCTAATAAAACTTTCTAGTGCCTTAGCATGTAGAGGACGATGAAGCGGGGGAGCATGGCCTGAATGTCGAACAGGATGAGCTTGCCGCCACCTCGTAACTCTGTTTGCCGTCGGCGCTGCAGCGTGAGTCAGCATGCATGCTCTACGTGTCCTTGAAGCACGCCACTGTCTACTCCCAAAAGAGCTTCTGCTGGGACATGTACGCGCTGCATGACCGCTTGCAACGAGGCCACCCTTCTTCTCCTTTCGCCATGTAAACACAACACTTAGCTTCACCTGTCCTCCGCAATTCCATTTCGCCCAGCTCACCACTACTCGTCATTCTTCTCTAGCTCCCTATCACTTCCCATGGCTCCACGCTCTGCTCTCTGTTTTCAAGAAAACTGAATAGTCAATATGCACTCTATATCTGGTGCCATTTGCCACCTGACCCTGGCCCAGCAGGCCTCGTTATCATCGAGAGAACAGCAGGAGGTAGAGATGATTGCACGGAGCAACTGTACGACAATACAAGCACCGTGTCCTGTGATAAGATGGTCAGGGCAGGGAGAGAAGAACAGTGGCAGTGCATGCTGCGCAGGATGCACCGTGGGTGGAATATTTGGGACTAAAGTGGACCCCACACAGCTGACAATATTTATGCACATACCATCTTGCAAAGTTAACAACACATTCCACTTTTGTTCTTGTGTGTGCGTTTGGGGAGGGGGGGGGGTATATTACGTGTCACATGTTCATATCTGGTACTCTTGCACAATCAGCCATTGTTCAAAATGTTGGCCGATTAATCCCTACTCGGTGGTGTTAAGGAGTATTAGTATTGGTCTAGGAGTCCTTATTAGTCTATGTTTAGTTTTCTTGCACCTCAAGTCACGTGTAATATATATATGCCCCTTGGGCCTTCAATAAAGTTAAGTTGCTTTCCTAACATGGTATTAGAGCTTTAGGTTTTTTTTTTCCGCACGCGCAACTCGTGCTGATCCGATCTAATCTTGCGCCTCCACCAACCCCCTCTTGGCCGGACGCTGCCTCCCCTCGCCATGCCGCCATCTTCCTCTGGACATCTCGCGCTGCCCTTCCTCCTTCACGTGCCCTGCCCGGGTCCTCCCTGGTCAATGCTGCCTCCAGATCAGGCTGGTTTGGCACCCTCCAGAGATCGGGTTGGATCAGTCAATACCGTTGCGCAGGATCCCATCGCCCTAAAGATCGCCGCCACCTCGGTCAACGTCGTCCCCGTGCAGGGCTCCTGTGCTCGCGCTGGCTGCTCTCCAAGTCTGCCACCGGGACGATCGGCCCTCCCGCGAAGACTGTCGCCGCCGCGTGACGACCACCATCCCGATTCATCAGCCGCTGCTTTCTGCACGCATTTTCCCGTGTGCAGCCGCTTCTCACTCGCGTGCGTCCGCTCATGCAGCCGTGCAGGTGTTCCTCTCCTGCTTTTGCTTCTGTGTGCGTGGCTGCTGCTATCTCCTACTATATTGGCTGCTGCTGCAGCATGCTTGTCTGCGCTGGCTGCTGCTAAACCTCGTAGCACTCATGCATCTCTGCTTGCTCCTCTTTGTCGGCATCTTACATGCACGACTTCCTTCATAATCTCTTTTGCTAACACAATGGCTTCGTCGTCTTCATCTAGTGTGTGCTTCCTAGCTTTCTAGTTTTTAGTTTATTTTCTGTTGCGTCCATCAAATCCGTTGATATTGTGTTTCTCATGTCATGTGAGTCCACCATACCTATGTCCGTCAGCCTTTTTCTGGCCATTGTCCTCTCTAGGATTTCTGTGGCCTCTCTTTGCATTGTTGATCTAAGCCCATTCTCTTGCCGCCTTGCTTCTTTCGCTATCGGTTTTCATGGGCCATGATTCTTTAAGCAATGCTTCATTCTCTTGATGTGCCATCTTCTTTCATCAACCCATCTTCTCTTGATACTTCTCTTGTATCTTCTATCGATGGGGTGTCTTCCTCTGATGTGCCATCTCTTTGTTATCCCCTTTGGTGACTCGACAGGTTTTGAAGACTCTTCATGCTACGACGACACTCTCAAGACGCGGATTTGGATTATCATTTTTTTA